TGAATACACATGCCAAGGACCATATTTGACCCATTTCTGAAATAATTAAAGGTATAGTTATTTTTATACATGGGTAATATGGGTGGAATATCATGGGTAAACATGTCTAGGAACAGGGGCGGACTGACAACTCATGGGGCCCCCGGGCAATAGGGGATCATGGGGCCCCTGTGTCCTTGCCCAAACTCAAAAAAGCCTATGAAAAAGATACCAGGGGCATCTCATGGGGCCCTCTACTGACCCCGGGCCCTCGGGTAGTGCCCGAATTTACAAATGGTCAGTCCACCCTTGTCTAGGAACACATTTGACTTTTTTCTCATAAAATAAGAATAGCTATTTTTCTACAAGGGGGTTATAGGTGGAATTTTTTTTTAACATGCCTAAGAACACATTTGACTCCTTTGTGATAAAAATATGAGAATAGTTATATTTCTGCATGGGGATTATGGGTGTATTATTGTGGATACACATGGCAAGAACCATATTTCACCGATTTCTGCAAAGATTATGGGCATAATTAGTTTACTACATGGGGATTATGGGTGGATGATTTCAGACACACATGCCAAGGACCATAGGGATTATGGGTGGAATATCATGGTTGAACATGAACCCCTTTCTGATAAGAACGAGAATAGCTATTTTTCTACGTGGGGATTATGGGTGCAATCAGGGGAAGACTGACCATTTGGAAATTCGGGCACTGCCCGAGGGCCTGGGGTCAGTATGGGGCCCCATGAGATGCCCCTGGTACCTTTTTCATAGACTTTTTTGAGTTTGAGCAAGGACACAGGGGCCCCATGATCCCTTATTGCTCGGGGGCCCCATGAGTTGTCAGTCCACCCCTGGGTGCAATACTGTTTTTTAAAACATGCCTAGGAACACAATTGACCCCTTTGTGATAAAAAATACGAGAATAGTTATTTTTCTACATGGGGATTATGGGTGGATGATTGGAGATACACATGCCAAGAACCAGATTTTACCTACTTCTGAAAAAATTATGGGCATAGTTATTTTTCTACATTGGGATTATGGGTGGAATATCATGGTTAAGCATGTCTAGGAATACATTTGACCTGTTTCTGATAATATGAGAATAGTTATTTTTCTATATGGGGATTATGGGTGGATGATTGCAGATACACATGCCAAAGACCATATTTGACAGGTTTCTCTAAAAAAATATGGGTATAGTTATTTTCTATATGGGGATTATGGGTGAAATATCATGTTAAACATGCCTAGGAACACATTTGACCTGTTTCTGATAACCATATGAGAATAGCAATTTTTCTACATGGGGATTATGGGTGGAATATTGTTTTTTTTAACATGCCTAGGAACACATTTGACCCCTCTCTGATTAAAATATGAGAATAGTTACTTATCTACATGGGAATTATGGGTATATTACTGTGGATACACATGCCAAGGACCATATTTGACCCATTTCTAAAGTGATTATGGGTATAGTTATTTTTTACATGGAGATTATGGGTGGAATATCATGGTTAAACATGTTTAGGAACACATGCGATTTATTTCTGATAATAAGAGAATAGCTATTTTTCTCCATGAGGATTAAGGGTTGAATATTGTGTTTTTTTTCTAACATGTCTAGGAACACATTTGACCCCTTTGTGATAAAAATATGAGAATAGTTATTTTTCTACATGGAAATTATAGGTTTATTATTGTGGATACACATGGCAAGAACCATATTTGACCTATTTATGAAAATATTAGGGCATAACTCATTTTCTACATGGGGATTATGGGTGGAATATATCATGGTTAAACATGCCTAGGAACACATTTGACCTGTTTCTGATAATATGAGAATAGTTATTTTTCTACATGGGGATTATGGGTGGATGATTGCACATACACATGCCAAGGACCATATTTGACTTGTTTCTCGTAAGAATATGGGTATAGTTATTTTTCTATATGGGGATTATGGTTGGAATATCATGGTTAAACATGCCTAGGAACAAATTTGTCCCCTTTCTGATAAGAATATGAGAACAACTATTTTTCTACATGGGGATTATGGGTGGAATGTTTTTTTTTTAACATGCCTAAGAACAAATTTGACCTCTTTCTGATAAAAGTATGAGAATAGCTCTTTTTCTACATGGAGATTATTGGTATATTATTGCAGATACACATGGCAAGAACCATATGTTACCTATTTCCAAAAAGATTACGGGCATAATTATTTTTCTACATGGATTTATGGGTGGAATATCATGGTTAAACATGCCTAGGAACACATTTGACCCATTTCTGATAAAAAAAAATATGAGAATAGTTATTTTTCTACATTGGGATTATGTGTGTATTATTGTGGATACACATGGTAAGAAACGTATTTTCACTGTTTCTGAAAGGAATATGAGAATAGTTATATTTCTGCATGGGGATTATGGGTGGAGTATCAGGTTTTAAACATGCCTAGCAACACATTTTACTTGTTTCTGATAAGAATATGAGAATATTTATTCTTCTACATGAGGATTATGGGTGGATTTTTGTGAATACACATGCCAAGGACCACATTTGACCTACTTCTGAAAGGATTATGGGTATAGTTATTTTTCTACATTGGGATTATATGTGTATTATTGTGGATACACATGGTAAGAAACGTATTTTCACTGTTTCTGAAAAGAATATGAGAATAGTTATATTTCTACATGGGGATTATGGGTGGAATATCAGGCTTAAACATGCCTAGCAACATGTTTGACTTGTTTCTGATAAGAATATGAGAATAGTTATTTTTTTCTACATGATGATTATGGGTGGATTTTTGTGAATACATATGCCAAGGACCAGGGGCGGACTGACCACTCATGGGGCCCCCGGGCAACAGCGGATCATGGGGCCCCTGTGTCCTTGCCCAAACTAAAAAAAAGCCTATGAAATAGGTACCAGGGGCATCTCATGGGGCCCCCTACTGACCCAGGGCCCTCTGGCAGTGCCAGAGTTTCCAAATGGTCAGTCCGCCCCTGCCAAGGACTATATTTGACCAATTTCTGATAAGAACATGCATATAATTATTTTCCCACATTGGGAAAATCATGTTTACACATCCCACGTAATACAGTTTACCTTTTTAGATAAGAATATGGATAAAATTACTTTTATTTATGGGGATTATGGGGGCAATATCATGGGTACACATCCAGCATAAAATATGTAACATGTTTTCATAGGAATATGGGAATTATTATTATACAGGTTTTATATTGTGCCAACAGTTTGCACAGTATTTTACAACATGAGGGCAGAGGGCCCTGCTCGTTATAGTTTACAATCTAAAAAGGAACAGACAGGTGATACAAAAGGTAATAATTGGGGGGGGGGGGGGAATGAGCTGATGCATAAAATAAATGTACAATTGTTAGGTAGAGGAAGAGTAGGCTTCTCTGAAAAAAAGTTTTTTCTGGGATCACCTAAAAGTGGAATAGAATATTTTTTATGTGGGGATTATGAGTGGAGTATCATGGTTACACATCCCATGTAATATACAGTCATGGAAAAAATACATACATACATTCATCATCCCACCATCCAATCATCTATCATCCCAATATGCAGTTTAGTATTCCCAAAAAGAGCGAGGAGTTCAAATCCCTGAATTTACATTGGAAGAGTTTTCCCTCCATTATAAGGCTCCATGTACACTGGACACTTCTGATGGAAACTGACTGCTGGAAAACATAGGTTAAAAAAAGTCTGTTTAACCGCGTTTGCATACCGCATTTATGCGTGTTTATAAGCGTTTGCGTTTAGAAGCATTTTTTAAAGATAACCTCAGGAGACCTTCCAAAATGCCCAGAATGCACTGAAAAACGGTAAAAAATGACCTATTTCAGACATTTTGAAAGAAATAGAGAGAGCAGTATTTGTTGAGATTAGCTTTTATTTTTTTTGTGGTGTTTGGATGTGTTCCAGCTCATTTCTGTGCAGAAATTATTGCAGCAGTGTCTAACATATTTTCTTTCATGCGAAAACCTCAAAGTATGGTGTACCAGGTCCATCTGAGTATCGGGAAAACGCTTTGCATGTATTTTTCATGATGAAAAAAGGCTCTGGACAGCATCTGGAAATGGAAGAGTTAAAAAATGTTTTCAAACCAAACGCTTATAAACGCGGTTAGCCGCGTTTACAAGCGTTTTGGCGTTTGATCCGCTGATAAAATCTACTCCTGAATGCAAATTTGGTGCGTTAAAAAAAAAAAAACGACTATAGACTCAACTAACTGTAAACAAAGATGTGTGTATGGACACATAGGAATACATTAGGGAGAGTTCAGGGGCTGCTGAAAAAAATGCAGAAAAGCTCCTAAATGTGAGTTTATCAGCTGCAGTGTACATGAGGTAACAATGAGAGGAAACAGCTTCCAAAATACTGCTCCATCTGCCTGGAGATAAACTATCAAGCAGGGGTGGACTGACCATTCAAGCACTCGGGCACTGCCCGAGGGCCCGGGGTCAGTAGGGGCCCCATGAAATGCCCCTATCTTTTTATAGGCTTTTTTGGGTGTGCTTTGAGTGTGGGCAAGGACACAGGGGCCCCATGATCCCCTATTGCCTGGGGGGGGGGGCCCCATGAGTTGTCAGTCCACCCCTGCTATCAAGTATCTTCTCTGGAATCCTATTGGATTTATTCCAGCACATTATGATGTTATTGGATGAGATGAAAGTTCGATTATGTACCAATAAAAAGAATGTATGTTCCTAGATATATGAATGTGTCATTAATATCTGTGATCTGTGCCACATTACACACCTATTACACCTCATCACACCGTTATGTATTCTGAACTCTATGACCTGTCAATGTCATGCAGGCATGCCTTTAGTCTCCTAAACGTGGGGCCTCCCGGTAGTGACGCCATCAAGGGGCGACGGTGCCTATCATGCTGCTTCTGCGGGGGACATACGGACAGTGATGGCGCGGCGTGTGTTTGGTGCTGAGCACTTCGTATGAGCCCGGTTGTTGTGTTCCCCGCAGTGTGCTCCGACATGTTCATGCAGAGGCTGCCCTTCCTGGCCCGGAGCTGCCTGCAACCGGCGACCCGGAGCTCTCGCCTGCGAGAGGTGGTGTGCGGCTCGGTGGCCGGGAGCTCCAGGATCTGGTCAGCCGGCAGGACTATATCTAATGGCAACAGCAAACCTCTGGACACGTCTCTGTTCATCCCTGTCAATATCCAGCCGACTGACATCCCAGAATCAGACATTGGGGCAGAGCTCACCCAGTCACTAAGTAAACGTAAGGAGAGCAATGGTCATTGGGTGGGGGTGTGCTGAGGGGCCCCCACTGTCCTGCATGCTGCTCAGACCAGGAGCTGTGGGTATCCCAGACATTGGGGTGCTGAGGGGCCCCCACTTTCCTATATTCTTCAGAGATCAGGAGCAATAGGTATCCCGGACTCAGACATTGGGGTGATGAGAGTGCTGAGGGGCCCCCACTGTCCTATATTCTTCAGAGATCAGGAGCAATAGGTATCCCGGACTCAGACATTGGGGTGATGGGAGTGCTGAGGGGCCCCCACTTTCCTATATTCTTCAGAGATCAGGAGCAATAGGTATCCCGGACTCAGACATTGGGGTGATGAGAGTGCTGAGTCCCCACTGTCCTATATTCGGAGATCAGGAGCAATAGGTATCCTGGACTCAGACATTGGGGTGATGGGAGTGCTGAGGGGCCCCCACTGTCCTATATTCTGAGATCAGGAGCAATAGGTATCCCGGACTCAGACATTGGGGTGATGGGAGTGCTGAGGGGCCCCCACTGTCCTATATTCTGAGATCAGGAGCAATAGGTATCCCGGACTCAGACATTGGGGTTATGGGAGTGCTGAGGGGCCCCCACTGTCCTATATTCAGAGATCAGGAGCAATAGGTATCCCGGACTCAGACATTGGGGTGATGGGAGTGCTGAGGGGCCCCCACTGTCCTATATTCTGAGATCAGGAGCAATAGGTATCCCGGACTCAGACACTGGGGTGATGGGAGTGCTGAGGGGCTCCCACTGTCCTATATTCTGAGATCAGGAGCAATAGGTATCCCGGACTCAGACACTGGGGTGATGGGAGTGCTGAGGGGCTCCCACTGTCCTGTATTCTGAGATCAGGAGAAATAGGTATCCCGGACTCAGACATTGGGGTGATGGGAGTGCTGAGGGGCCCACACTGTCCTATATTCTGCTGAGATCAGGAGAAATAGGTATCCTGGACTCAGACATTGGGGTGATGGGAGTGCTGAGGGGCCCACACTGTCCTATATTCTGCTGAGATCAGGAGCAGTGGGTATCCTAGACATTTGGGTGATGGGAGTGCTGAGGAGCCCACACTGTCCTATATGTTGCTGAGATCAGGATTAGTGGGTATCCCAGATATTGGGGTGCTGAGGGGCCCACATTATCCTATATTCTGCTGAGATCAGGATTAGTGGATATCCCAGATATTGGGGTGCTGAGAAGCCCACTCTGTCGTATATTCTGCTGAGATCAGGAGCAATAGGTATCCCGGACTCAGGCATTGGGGTGATGGGAGTGCTGAGGGACCCTCATTGTCCTGTATTCTGCTGAGATCAGGGTTAGTGGGTATCCCAGATATTGGGGTGCTGAGGGGCCCACATTGACCTATATTCTGCTGAGATCAGGATTAATGGGTATCCCAGATATTGGAGTGCTGAGGGGCCCACACTGTCCTATATTATGTTTAGATCAGGAACAAAAATTATCCTGGACTCAGACATTGGGATGATGGGAGTGCTGAGGGGCCCACACTTTCCTATATTCTGCTGAGATCAGGACAGTGGGGGCCCATTAGCCTCTCTTAGACGGTCACCTCTCTCTGCTTTGGGAAGACAGAGAACTAAGCAATCATCAGTCATGTGATCGCTCAGTTCTCGGAATTAGAGCCAATGGGTGACTGCTGCGTGGAGGTGAGCATGTATGGTGTGATTTTTTTTTTTTTTTTTTTGAAGCTCAAACTTCTCCTTTAATCTGTTGTGCAGTGTGTTTCTGCTGATCCACTTGGCCAATCAATCCAGACAAAACTGAAAAAAGAATTATGTGCTCAATCACCCATTGTTCTCTGATGTTATTTGAGGACTTCATTGGCTGGATCTGTATTTTTTCTTATACTGCAGAATGGGGGGGCTTGTACTGTCTCCAGCAAGTCATGGGTCACCATAAATGCCTTGCTTCCAGAGTCATTGTTACATATATGCATGGCTTGGCAAATCCTGGCTATAGATCTACTCCATGCTGGAAATTTTATTTATCTTCATATACACAATTCACCCAGCACTGTTCTCAGGTCTTTCCTTAAGAGACAGACTTTAATGTATGCATAAAACAGAAACTTAAAGCAGTCATTTTCCTTGCCAGTTTAGAGCAAAGCAATAGGATTGCTTTAATGTTGAGCTCTCCCTTTGCTTTAGACTGCTAAATGGAGAAGCTGTGAGCAAAAGGAAGCTGGGTATATGCTGCTGGATTAAATGGAATGTGTTTTCTTTGATAGGGTGCAGCTATCGCAGCATAGAAAGGTGCCTGTAGGTGAATGCCACTTTAGCTTCCCTGTAGGGCACTGCTCCACATCCTTCCCCTGCCTAGAGGTGTCTACTGTTCAATGAAAGCACTGTTTTACCAAGCCAACAATCCCACTTCAGGTTCTTCTTAAACGTTATAATTTCTTGAACCTTCTATGTCCTTGACTGTGATTCAAACAGCGTAGGAGGGGTGACCAATATAAATGTAATTATCATTTGTGTATTTTTGTTTAATTGTGCTGTACACCACTGTGTCTGTATTTGTTGAAATCGGGAGAGCTATGACAACTAATCTGAAGATGCTCCTATAGCAATTCTTGGAACTCTACTAATTTTTTTACTCAAGACTAGTAGATCAATGCAACATTTGGTGGCTCAGAGCAACGATATAGTTTTTTTTTTTTTGCATTGCTTTGTAAATCGGGATGATAATATAGCACCATTTACCAGGTTTCGTTGTCCCAATGTCTTCTATGTAAATATACTGTACATCTCGGTGGGCTATGAGTACAGATCACTGAGTAACCCTTCGTAACCCCACACATGGCCATGGCACCCCGCTGTCACACTACCATGCTGCCTACAGGACACCTTCTCTTGTTTGGTACCACACAAGGTTACCACACCCAATGATTTGCATTTTCTACAACATTTTTTTCATATGGGAATTTGAAAGCATTGTATAACCATTTCCCAAGTATAATTGCTAAACATCTTGTGCTAATGCTTTATCAGCTCTAATGTGAGCCTATAAACATTTTGAGTCTTCATCATGGGGTAGAATTTAAAACCATTATTTGTTGCAGGCAGTATTGATACTTTACTGGTAACATTACTTTTGATTTTCTTCTACTTTTGATCTTCTGTACTCCAGCTGAAATTTTGAAGGTTTTAAACAAATTTTACAGAAGAAAAGAAATACAAAAGCTGGGAGCTGAATGTGGACTTGATGGTAAGAAATGATCACACAGCGTTTCTTTGCAGATATGTTGTAGCTGTAATAAAGACAGGATGCTACAGAGGGTGGACTACTTTAAAATCCAACCAACTGTTGGAGGTTACCTAAGTATTCTATGGATTTAAAAAAATTAGGAATGGTTAAAATGGTTTATGTCTGTCCCTTTGAATATTGAGGATTCAAGCTAACTTTGAGCATAGAAACTTTGTTTCATTCTTTTCATTAAAGTTTCAGCAAATCGCTGGTGCCATGCAGGAATTCTAGAGACTGTTAATGTAAGCTGCCTGCCCGTACACCATATTGGCAGGCAGTTTCACACTGGTAGGAAGAATCAATGAACTACCAGAGCGATCAACCACGCCATGGTAGTTAATTGAGAACTACAAGCCAACAGCTGTTGTGGTTTCCCATTCACAGGACTCTATGAATGAATGACACGGCACAGTGGGCGAGCAGACATTTTTTTTAAATTGTGACGGCGAGCAGGGACAGAAGATCCCCACTCACTGTCAAATCGGGGGGGGGGGGGGGGGGCACTACAGTAACATGTGGATGTAGCATGTTACTAAAGGTGAACTTATCCTTTAATTTTGCTTCAAGCAGAATAGAATAGTCAAGCATTTGCTGTGTCATGGTAAACCAATCAGATATACAATGTAGGAGAGCATGTGAGGGGTCTGTAGGGATCTCTTAGATTGAAAGCTCCGAGGAGCAGGACTCTCCTAACCCTCTTGTATTGAACTGTATTGTTGCTGTATTGTCTCCCTTTATATTGTAAAGTGCTGAGCAAACTGTTGGTGCTATATAAATCCTGTAGAATAATAATAATATCCTTGTGAAATAATGGTCCAGAACGTGACATCAAGTGGGCATGTCAACCAAATGTGTAGCATCCTCTATTTAGACAATACTTTTTAGCCAAAATCCAGCTTTAAATTGGGGGTTAATGAAAGAGACTGTAACCGCAGAAAAAAAAAAAAAAGTTGCAGCAGCTTTTAGTACCCTGTTGTGACTGAATGCCATACCATGCTGGAAGACAATGCTCTGCCAGTTGCAGTTGATTTGTTTTTATTTTTTTACAACCAAGTCTCTTTTTGCATTGGCGCTATATAGGATAGGCACATCTGTACATGCGGGGAAGATCGTGTTTGGTTTATCTACTGGAAATTGATGGCTCTGATTAGTAAATGTTGAACCCAACTTTTTTATACTGTGTTTTTATAACTTTTTGTACTGTGTTTACAGCCCGCCTGTTTCATCAAGCGTTTATAAGCTTCCGAAGGTTTGTCATGGAAACTGACCCTTTGCATGTGGATCTTCATGTCATCCTAAGTGATATTTGTTGTGGAGTTGGTATGTGCTCAATTATACCAAACCTTGTTTGCTTTATATTTTGTTAAAATGTGCTAGCATGACCTGCTTATTGATTTGCATAAACTAAGTACCACTCCTGAAACTGGAGCTTGAAAGTACTGGCTGCCAAACTCCGTTATGTTTACTATCGGATATTTTTTTTAAAGGGAAATTTGTCTTTGTTTTTTTTTAGTATAAATAGTCATACAGCTGTAGGTAACGCAAAAGGAAACAGGTTAAAAATGTACTTTCACTTATGGTAAGGCCTTTCTGTCACTAAACAATAATTTGCTAGTTTGCTAGGAGATGTGCTATCAAACAAGTCTTTTATAGTCCAATAATATAACACATTTTACAGTATGGACCTCAATATGCTCAATAGATATAAAACAATCATATTGTACTGTTCTTGTCATCACCAATAACTTCAAATTGAAAACATTGTATTGGTTCATTACTACTGTCACATCACTTCTCTATAGTATTAACAGTTTGTCATAAAAAGTACATATAAGCATCTTTTCAGAATCATTCTACAGGTATACTGTAGTAGTTTGCATTTCCAGCCAGTGGGACCATATCTTTGTAAACTCCTAGGACATCTAGGAGCCTTGTATGTTAATTTATACCTAGGTATCACCTAATTAATAAGGCAGAGATAATGAGCCTGAGTTTAAGGTTCATATGATTTCCATTGAATGGGTGTTACCTTTTTGACATTAAAAATAATATATGTAATAGATGAGAAGTTGAGCATCTTCTTCATAGCCTAACAAACATCTGCTTGCATTGAAAACAAGGTAGCTTTAGAAGGCAATTTGTAAAGTCTCTGTGATTTCAGACCAAATGGTTTGTATAGCCAAGCATTCCCATATTGTGATAAAACAGTGGTTCTCAACCTTTCTAATGCCGCGACCCCTTAACACAGTTCCTCATGTTGTGGTGACCCCCAACCATAAAATTATTTTCGTTGCTACTTCATAACTGTAATTTTGCAGTGGGAGGAGTAGTGCCACATCATTGGTGTCAGTGGGAGGAATAGTGTCCCATCACTGATGTCAATGGGAGGAATAGTACCCCATCATTGGTATCAGTGGGAGGAATAGTGCCCCATCATTGGTGTCAGTGGTACGAATAGTGCCCCATCATTGGTGTCAGTGGGGAGGAATAGTGCCCCATCATTGGTGTCAGTGGGAGGAATAGTGCCCCATCATAGGTGTCAGTGGGAGGAATAGTGCCCCATCATTGGTGTCAGTGGGAGGAATAGTGCCCCATCATTGGTGTCAGTGGGGAGGAATAGTGCCCCATCATTGGTGTCAGTGGGAGGAATAGTGCCCCATCATTGGTGTCAGTGGGAGGAATAGTGCCCCATCATTGGTGTCAGTGGGAGGAATAGTGCCCCATCATTGGTGTCAGTGGGAGGAAAAGTGCCCCATCATTGGTGTCAGTGGGAGGAATAGTGCCCCATCATTGGTGTCAGTGGGAGGAATAGTGCCCCATCATTGGTGTCAGTGGGAGGAATAGTGCCCCATCATTGGTGTCAGTGGGAGGAATAGTGCCCCATCGTTGGTGTCAGTGGGAGGGAATAGTGTCCCATCGTTGGTGTCAGTGGGAGGAATAGTGCCCCATCGTTGGTGTCAGTGGGAGGAATAGTGCTCCATCGTTGGTGTCAGTGGGAGTGGGAATAGTGCCCCATCGTTGGTGTCAGTGGGAGGAATAGTGCCCCATCGTTGGTGTCAGGGGGAGCAATAGTGCCCCATCGTTGGTATCAGGGGGAGCAATAGTGCCCCATCGTTGGTGTCAGTGGGGGGAGGAATAGTGCCCCATCGTTGGTGTCAGTGGGGGGGGGGAGGAATAGTGCCCCATCGTTGGTGTCAGTGGGGGGAGGAATAGTGCCCCATCATTGGTATTAGTGACACCAATGATGGGGCACTATTCCTCCCACTGACACCAATGATACTTACCTTGCTGACCCCTGCTCCAGCCTGGGCTCGCTCGCTCCCTCCCTCTCCCATGGTACAGACACTTACCGGTCAGATGTCTTCCTTCTCCGGCCGCTCTCCTCCTCTTCACTCGCTCGATCTTCGCGGTGCCGCTCGGCTCCTCTTTTCCAAGCTCCACCTCCTCGCCGGTGATTGGCCGCCTGTGTGCCTCTCCTGAGCTACAGTTCCGGCGGCCAATCACCGGCGAAGGATTGATCCCAGGGGTGTGTCCAGATGACAGGGACGGCATGTCATCCCGCCCACACCTGGAGACGGATAGAGGAGCGGTGTCTCGGTTCCTAAGGCCATCGGAAACGTGTTTTCCGATGGTCTTAGGCGACCCCTGTGAAAGTGTCGTTCGACCCCCAGGTTGAGAACCGCTGTGATAAAAGGTACCAATATCAGATAGACATTTAGGACATGAAGGAGAAAATATTTTTGCCCATAAAAAAAAAAAAAAACCATATGAAGTGTGGTGGACATATTTTACTTGAATAACTTTAAAGTCTGATTTAACCTTTTGAAAAAAATATATAAATGCCCATATTTTTATTTTTTTGCAGGTAAGGAGCCTTTAGAGCATTGTACCTGCAATCGGCAAATTGCAAGTGCAATCTCAGGCTCCTGCAGACTCTTAGGTTAGCTGTCTGCCTGTACCTTATATGGGAAGGTAGTTACTTCAGAGCAGAAATAACAATGGGCTATGAGAGCGCTCACCAGCTGCAATGGCTGACGGTACTTTATAGTCTATCCATTCAGGAAACTGTGAATGATGCAGCCGTGTGGGCAGAGCCCCGCACGGCCACGCTGTTTTCAAATTGTGACAGCGGGTGTGTGCGAAGAAGGTCCCCTGCCTGCTGTAACAGGGAAGGGAGAAGAAGAGGCTGCAGATGCTGGAATATTGTTCCAAAGGTGAACTAATCTTTAGAGGAAATAACCAAAGACAATTGGGACACTAATATTTATTGCCATGTATCGTCTGGTAAATCCGATATCTCTTATGTGATTTCTCTTAGTCTAGTGGATATTTTGATTAATCGCCTCTCATCTGCAGCTCCATTGACCTTTAAATTTAGTGGTTCTTAATAAATGTTATGCACAGGTCATTAAGTCAGAGAAATATTTTTTGTCAGAAGCTGCTGGTATATTGAAATCTTTGGCTGGTTAAGCGAATTTCCTTTATCTTTTTTTTTTTTTTATGTAGGTCATGTTGATGATCTTTTCCCTTTCTTCATGAGACATGCCAAACAGATCTTCCCAATGCTGGACTGTATGGATGATCTTCGCAAAATAAGTGACTTGAGATTGCCCCCAAACTGGTAATGCCCCAGGCATGGAGATATAGCTACACATAAAAATCACTTTTAGTTGTTAAATATATAATTAATTAAAAAGATTACTAACATGCAACTAAGGTTTTTTTCACCCAAAGCTGCTATTTTACTTGCTTCTGTTGACATTTTTTTACCACCTGTAGGTATCCGGATGCAAGAAGAATTCAACGGAAGATCATTTTCCATTCTGGTCCCACAAACAGTGGGAAAAAACCTATCATGCCATCCAAAATTATCTCCGTGCCAAGTCTGGACTATACTGTGGCCCTTTAAAGCTGCTTGCACATGAGATCTACAAGAAGAGCAATGATGCAGTAAGGCAATTGCATATTCCAGTAGAACTGTTTTAACCTCCCTGGCGGTATGATTATTTCAGATTTTTGGTGCTGAAAGCTTGGGTACCATTATTTTGCATGGAAATATGTAGTTTTTTTATTGTAGGCTGTAATATTTAGGAATAACTCGCTGAAATCTGTCCGAACAAGAGTCTATTAAACATCCGGGGGAGGATAAAATTTGAAACACAAAATCATAAATTATAATTTAATAAATAATCATAAAAAATAATAATATAATAATAATACATTTAATTCAATAATATAATCAAACCAAAAACACTGAAATTTGAAATATAGCGCCAAGTTCGCACATTGCTGAGCAAAGTCGCAAAATTGTTTTCAGTGTCTGATGACGAATTTCCCCACAAATCATTATTGCTCGATTCTGCAAGTGGTTCTGATTTACTATCGCTGTTCTCTAGCTGATCTAAACCGCTTTTGACCTAAAGGGACACTTTTTGGACGCCATGGACGTTTCTCAGTTTCCAGGCAGAAAGAACAGACAAAATGCAGGCGGGGCACAGGACAAAGCATTAGGGACAAGATGTATGTGAAATTGGTTGAGACAGCAATGTTTTACTATGTAAAATGTAAAAAAAAAAAGACATTATTTAAAATTTTTAAATTTCCCGCCGCCGGCTGCGCCCGTACGTCCCGACGTCACAGGGACAGGACACAGAAGCCGGATGCCGGCATCGGCCGAAGGAGATGGCCGGGGACGCTGCAGGGGACACATCGTGGGAGCGCAGGGTAAGGTAAGTGAAGAACAAATGCCGGAGCAGTGCCGCATGGTATTCCCGAGTGTAGCTCGGGGTTACCGCTCTTGGTACTGAAATGTTACCCCGAGCTACACTCGGGAATACCGCCAAGGAGGTTAATGACCTGTGTAATTCATAAAGATATTTCCTGATCTGGATAAAGTTGGAAGTGGCTGTGCATTGGACTGGGGCCATAGAAAAAATCCATTCTATCAATCAATTTATGAATACACTTAGATTGACGTTGTGCAGTGTTATTTCTTAATAACCATTTATTTATGTGCATCAACGCTGTTAAAACCAAGTAACTAGTATCAAATATTAATTTACACGGATAGTGTAATGAGTTCATTTACTTGTACACTAAGCTTTAAATGACACTATACATACGTGCAAAATATGTTCAATGTTGGACTGTGTCTGTGAGAGTGAGAAATATTTAATCTTACAGATGTCTCTTTAGAGGAGAAATCAAGGACATTTCAAAAAGTACAAGGACTATTGATATTTTACTGAATTTTTTGTACAGCAAAAAAAAAAGGATTATGATTATATGTAACTACTTTTTTTTTTTTTTTTTTTTTTTTCTTAAGGGGGTTCCTTGTGATTTAATCACAGGAGAGGAGCTGATACATGTAGATCCAATGGGAAAGCCAGCCAGCCATGCATCGTGTACCATTGAGATGTGCAGTGTGAATACACCTTGTAAGTAATCTGTGATTGGCCATACATGGCTAAATAGTTGCAATTAACACCGCTACTTCAACCATAATTTGTAGTAATTAACCACTTGTCTACTGGGCACATTTACTCCCTTCGTGCCCAGGCCAATTTTCAGCTTTCAGTGCTGTCGCACTTTGGTCATGCAAAATTATACCCATGTGAAATTTTTATCATTTTTTTCACACACATAGAGCTTTATTTTGGTGGTATTTAATTGCCACTGGGTGTTTTATTTTTTGCACTATAAACGGAAAAAGAGCAAAAAAATTTGAAAAAAAAAGTTTTTCTTTGTTTCTATTATAAAATTTTGCAAACAGGTAGATTTTCTCCTTCGCTGATGAGGCTGCACTGATGAGGTGGCACTGATAGGCTGCACTAATGAGATGGCAGTGGTGGGCATTGATGAGGAGGTACCGATATGCAGCAATGATGGGCACTGATGGACTGGCAGCGCTGACTGACAGCACTGCTGGGCAGACTGATGGGCAGCACTAATGGGTGGCACTGCTGGGCACTGATTATCAATGCCCTGATGATCGGTGCAGATGTCCTCTGTGTCATTTGCCGGATATCGGCAGTACTTTCCTCACGCTGTGACTGCGTGAGGAAAGTGCTGCTGATAATCAGCTTTATTTACATTGTGATCTGCTGTGTAATTGGACACAGCTGATCACATGGTAAAAGGCCGCTGTGATTGGCTTTTTACCTTATCTTGGGATCAGCTGTGTCCATAGAACACAGCGATTACGGAGAGCGCCGGGTGCACGCTGCTGGGGGTGTGCGGGAGGGTGCATTCTGGGAGGACGTCATATGATGCCCTCCCAGAACTGGACAACCGTGCTGTAGCTGTCATTTGGCTATAGCGCGGCTGGCAAGTGTTTAAAGTGGTAGTAAACTCTTCTTTATATATTTTGTCCTACTGGTTGGCTTATAATAAAGCTTACAAAAATATAAAAATGCCACAGAATAGGTGGATTCACCCTATGTAATTACTCTCTGACTCATCAGTCATATAGATGTGGGTTAATACCAAAAATTGAAAGCATATAAAGAAATAACCAGCCCTAAAGAAAGGCTGTAAAGTAACGATTTAAATGAAACCCAAGCAGACTAGTTAATGGTACAAAAATTGCTTTATTGTGAATCTCGCATAAAAAATGTATGAAACCTTCCAAGCTGAAAAATACACATCAAAATAATAATAACGTAAGCAATCCGGATTGCAGAAGCCTAAAGCTGGTAAATGTACCCAGCATCATGGTTACCCTCCATAAGTTTAATTCATTATCCACAGAAGTGGTAAATACCACATATCTAGGTAAATTAATTGCGATATGTCATCGTTTAGTGAAAACATATGATCTTAGTGGCGTATTACTTGGGCAACAAAATGATATAAGTTCCGCTCATTCAAGAAGGAAAATGATAGGATCATGATGAGGTTAAACAAACTTAAATAAACACTGGCACGTTCTTTTAGCCAATCCAATCATTGCTAACATAGTGGGTGAGCGACCTTCAATGACAGCACATACAACTTCTAATTTTAATTATTTACTAGTACATTCTGAATATCAGAGACAATCATTATCTGAAAATTGGCTAAATAAATTATCGGAATTCACAGGAATGTATGCCTGCGGAAACTGTCAAATCTGTCCATAGGCTCTGTTTCAGTCTTTAGACTTCACTGATAACATTTTTCTTTCTAGCATTTCTTCTGTTTTTTTTTTTTTTTATAATGCATGCTCCTTAAATATTTTTGTATAATTTTAGATGAGGTGGCTGTGATAGATGAAATTCAGATGATAAGGGATCCTGGCAGGGGCTGGGCCTGGACCAGAGCACTCCTAGGTAAAGCTGGAGATTTTATTTTCTGTATATACAGAATTTAATGCTGTTTTCCCACCACCTGTCACTGAAAATAGTCATGGCTTTCTATCTTTTTTTTTTTTTTTTGTTTTGTTTGTGTGTGTGTGTGTGTGTACCAGGGCTTTGTGCACAGGAAATTCATATATGTGGCGAGGCTGCTGCTATAAAACTAGTGACTGAACTAATGTACACTACTGGGGAAGAGGTGGAGGTAATGATGATCTGATTTACTTGTCCTGTATGCAGAATAACTGCAGAATGTGATTATTTTTATCTCTCTCCATTTTCATGAGAATATGACTTGATATACCCTTCTGGATTAAAGTTTAAAACTAAACTCCACCTTTTAAAGCATGTTACACCCATATTTAGGGTATGACATGGTGCCAAACTGAATCCCTTACCTGACTGCATGCCAAGGTACTTCCTCCTGGTGGCAGCTCTGAATCAGTTCTGGATTTTGCATGACTCTGCCCACACAAACGCGTTATTCATTCCCAGAGATCTGTGAATTAATAGACTACAAGTTCCAACTGCCACCACCGCAGCCGGACCTGTAGTTGTCATACAAGCATCAACAAATATGACCAGGATGCCAGATCTTCTCCTATCAGTACTACACTTCAGTGATGTGGAAAAAGCTTGTGTATCCTGTTTTCAGAACACCTGATGTGTAAATTCTTCTGCACATTCTTCCCAATGACCACAAGTTTAAGAAGCATTATTCCCACTGACCATCAAACTAATGTATCATGAGTTGTAGATATAATAATTTTTAACAGGGGTTCCCTGAGACCCGAAAGATATTCAAGGTTTAACAGGGTTCCTCCTGTTGTAAAAGCTGACAAAGACTGATCTACAATATGGGCAGGCTGGTTGTACTGAAACTGATCGATCTATCAATCAACTTCAGTACAACCACCTTGTCTTTTTTTTTTTTTTTTTCTTTTTTCTTCGTACAATTAATACTGCTATCTATAGCCATCAGCAGAGATAATTGTATTCTGACGACAGGTAAACCTCCCACTGTCAGAATTCTGTTGCGTAGCGGGAGAGATTTGCCCCATCAACACTGAGTGTGTTCATGGGGAAATCTGTTTCCTTCAACCAAAATTTCATAATGTATGGCCAACCTTAGAACTGGCCATGTAGGTTACACTTAATCGATATGGTAGACATGATGACTTACCATGTGTGGTGTCACATAAAACACTCCAACTGCAATTACTGTATTCTGTTATATAAAGCAACAGTGCATGTGATAAAAGTTTCATTAGGTCTGTATGTTGTAACAGCTCAATGACACCTCGTTCTTTGTGATAGCAGGGTTGTGTTTTGTTGTAACTGTATATTCATTTAGTTACAGTCACCATTATCTTCCATTTTATTGATGCTGTGTGGCAGCGTGAAACATCTAATAATAGACAAATTTTGTACTGTAAGGTAGACTGCAATGTGTAACTCGCAAATGAGTTTATAAAATATTGTTTACTTGTTGATTCATTTTTAAATTTTGTTTATTTTGCATGTTAAAAGCATGGTTGATAATTGAAGTGTTTGCTCTTAGGTACGGAGTTATGATAGACTGACCCCAATTAAGACTTTGGATCATGCTCTTGGTTCCTTGCATAACCTCCGCCCTGGGGACTGTATAGTCTGCTTTAATAAGAACGACATCTATTCTGTAAGCCGCCAGATTGAGGCTCAGGGATTAGAATGCGCCGTGATATATGGAAGTTTACCCCCAGGTGAATATTTTTTTCATGTCTTGTAGACTGAAACAAGTTTTAAAAATCTCAAATACCTCTGACTTTGTACTAGCCCCCAATAATCACCTGTATATTAACATGCACAACAGGATATGACAGCGAACCAATTAGGCTTTGTTTTTGCACAGTGCTGTGCCTCTAATGTGCCGAATGAAGGGTAGATCATATATGACCTCAGGAGTGAGCTGCTGCTTCTTCAGTATCCATTCACAATGTTGGCCAAGCTCAATGTTTTCAAATGCAAAGGTAGAAAATTAGGTCAAGACTTTACATAGATTCTGTCAAGGTTGTCTGGATTACGAAACTGGCTAAACAAAACATTTTTGGCAGATAAGTGTTTGCACATAAATAAAACGTATTTAGTGGTTTGCCTACATTTTCAGTATAACACACCACATTACATCAGCAGAACTTGCAAGAACGGGCATGAAAAGGAAAATTTCCATCAATAAACAGACTTGTAGTCTGTGTATGTCCTGCCTCTTGTATGTTGGGAGAGTCACCTGTATTCACAGTTCTTGCCCATTTTTTGTAGAGATATTTTTGCCCATTTGTGGCTAACCTTAAGCCTTGTACATATGGGAAGAAATTGGCCTATTCAGCGGGAACCATTCGAGTTTCAGTCCATGTGTACAGGTCTCTGTCTGACAGAAGTCAATCTTGCGACCGGCTTCTGTCAAACAGGCATACTGGAAAACCAGCATCCGATCAGGAAGCAAACTGATAATCTTATCTCATTCAATGAGATTCAGTATTGATTTGTATTCACTGCATCATTATCAGAAGGTCCTTTTTATTATTGAAGGGTTGGGTGTCACCTGTACATTTCTTTAAAAGATGATGACTCTATGTAGAAAATTCACATTTCATGAAAATTGTCCCAGATTGCAAAAAAAGTTATCTGGAAAACATATCTATCCTCCTATATTGCAGCTAATAGACTTCGTAACTTTATACACATACATGTAATGCAGGTTTTTTTTTTTTTTTTAAGTGTCATAGTTTTGTAACATATCTCCCTCAAGACTTTGCATCTGGCAGGAGATGTTCATATGATATCAGGTTTTATTCAGTCTGTTGATGCAATGGAAGCTACATTGTAAAGTAAATACACTTAATATGTGGTGTTTGTATTTTTTTTTTTTTTTTTTTTTTAAGGGACAAAACTTGCACAAGCAAATAAATTCAATGACCCAAATGACTTGTGTAAAATTTTGGTTGCCACGGATGCCATTGGAATGGGGCTGAATTTGTGAGTATAAATTCGTATTGCTGTGTACCGAATTAATTTAATAAATCTAGTTGCATAAGTCATTGCTTTTTGGAGAAATTATTTGGTATATCTTGGAACAGTTTATTTCTGGACAAACATGTGGATCAAGTTAATTTTTGCATGTGTTGTGTGGAATCTTCATCTGGTGCACCTATGGTAAGAATTGTAATTTAGAACTTCCACGGTATAACCTTCATATATAACCAGCTTCAAATGTTTAGGCCTCTGAAGATTTTTGCTTCGGCTACCTATTTAAACAGTGCAGGTTACTGATGCTGTTGTCTGAGGAAATGTTAAGTATGTCCAACTGTGATATAAGATGTTGTTTTTCAGGCCTGAAGCAACATGGGGACCAATACAAGTGTATTGAACATTACTAGAATCCATAAAATGTTGGTTATACACTGGTATAGGTTGGAGGTATTGTGACTAAGACATTTAGAAATGGAAACCAGGGTTAAATTTACATTGTTCTAGCAACAGGACAGGGTGTATATAGCTATGGGGAGTTTTTTCAATTAGACTTCTAGGGAGGGGGCACAAATATATTGCATTTACATTATTCAACATTTTTTATAAGCTGTGCATTTGATTACCTGTTGGGGCCCCTTGATGCATAGGCTATTTTCTTTAAAGAGTAACTCGACTTTTTTTTTTTTTTAGAAAAAAAAAACAAAACAATTCCCTCCTGGGTGTTTATATGTACATTTGCAGGGATTTTGACAAACGTTGTTGCCGTTTCCAACCTTTTTGTTATTCTGAAGAAATAGCTGTTTGTTTCTCTGTGTGCATGTGGGAAGTGAATCTAATGGAAGTGATTTTATAATTTTCAATCAGCTGCTGCCTTGCAGGGGTCTAATGAGGAAAGTGGCAGGGTTTGTATCCCTTTAGACGTGATTTAGCTTTGAGAGTATCTCACCAAAAATGACATTTTTGTTGCAGAGGGTGCCCAAAATCTGAGTTGTATCTTGGTGCAGACTTCTGGGAAAATCAGTGAGCCAATCACACAAGCAGGACATGATATATAGGAGCAGAGCCGGCACCAACATAAGGCAGCTAAGGTGGCCGCATTAGGGCACCAGGAGGAGGGGTAAGCTAAAGCCGGGGGTGATGGCCCTCCAAGAAAAGCTTACTCTGGCACCAGCCCCACACTCAGCACAAGTAACACAGGGCACACCATGACAGGCAGCAGTTCAGCTGCTGCCTTCACACTAGCTTTCACTTGCTCTACCAGGCTGCTGCTCCTGCTTCTCCTCCCTCCCATATGAAGGGCTGAAGATAGCCTTTCATTTTCAAACACCCACTTCTCTCCCTCCAGATTTCTGCCCCCGCAATGAAGAACTGTTCTTGCCCACCTGGGCAGTAGCAGACGCACCACCAGTCCAGCACAGAGATTCCGCTGAACTGGAGGCATGTCAGATGAGGGGGAGGAGCCAAGTGACACCAGGGGGAAAGGGCCAGTAGTCACCCGAGTGGGATCAGCTTGTAGTCGAAGGGTTCTGCCAACCTCAGTAGAATTTGGAAGGTAGACCTTGTCCTTGGTGCTTTTATTATGTCTAACTGTGCATAAGACAGCCGCTCTGCTCTATGGGTGGTCAGGTGTTGTCCATTTACACCCAACTGCCCTTCGATCCCATCCACCCAGATCTATGGGTGGTCAGGCGTTGTCCATTTACACCCAACTGCCCTTCGATCCCATCCACCCAGATGGTTTGGGTCCGTCTGAAAAATGGAGAGGTGAACCTGATTAGACTGATTTGCTTGAAAGGGCCTAAAGTGCAATGTTCTAGATACAAAGAATAATTTATATATGTACATTTCAAAGTGCTGGTACAATAAATAATATGCATAAAACATACATTTCATACAAAATGTCCAAAAAAATTGTGCCATGATAAACTTGTGCAGATCCACTGAAAGCTGTTTGCACGGACTTCAGTGTACATCACCAAAGCAGGCACACACTATAGTGCATTACCTGGACAATTTGTCGCTTTATCCTAGTAAAGTTTGCTACAAGTACATTTACTTTAAGCAGCGCAGTATGTCCTGGTAATGCATTATAGTGTGCTTTATTCTTTGCATATAGGGGTTGCCTGTGGTTGGTACTGGACCAGGCGCAGTGGTGAAAGCCCGCTCTTGAGAGAAAGCTACTATACCTGTAGTATTGCTTTTTTGAGTGAAGTGCCTGCAAATCTCCAGCAGATGACAAGTGCATGTGACCTCATAAGTTTAAGAGGTCAGTTTTTTGAGTAAACAAATTGTGTGTGCTCTGTCTTGGTGATGGTGCACTGAAGTCAGTGTACAGTTGACCTGCACAGCCCTCTGTGTACAGAACGTTTCTTGGTTGCCATATTGCATTGCATTTTACAGAAGATTACAGTGCTGCAGATTAAAAAGGAGTGAAAGAACGACATAAAAACAGAAAGTAGCTCAATATCCAGCATATTGTGTGAGTAAGTTGGAAAAGTGTGTTCTTCAGTATTAAGCAATTAAAGACAACTTTTTGATTTGGTATGCCCTATCAAACGAGGAGGTATACCGTGGTGATACTATACATAATAATACATAAGAGCAATTAAGAGTGCTATTCCAATTTAGTAATTTTTTTTTTTTCCTCTTCATTACTTTTTTTTTTTTAGGAGTATTAAAAGGATCATATTCAATTCCTTGGTTAAACCAACAGTAAACGAGAAAGGAGAGAGAGAGATAGACACCATCTCCACTTCCCAGGCACTGCAAATAGGAGGCAGAGCTGGCAGGTTTAGCTCTATGTATAAGCATGGAGAAATTACCACCATGCTCCAAAGTGATCTTCCACTCCTAAAGGATATCCTAAGCAAGCCAGTTTCTGATATCCAGGTAATCCAATTTGTTTATTCTAACACTTGTAGTGGTTTTCTCAAAGTGTTATTAAATACAGTAGCTCCATTAATTGGATGTAAGGCCAGTACACATATATTAGTAGTGTATGGAAATATGACAAGCAGACTGTCAGACCCCCAGTAGTGCAGTGAACCATCCCCCATCACCCTATGTTTCCTGGCTCAGCTGTCCCACCTGCTGGCCTTGAACCAGCATAGTGATTGTCATCGGATAGAGAGGAAAGCAGAAGTCCATTCACCCGTCTTCCCAAGGGAAAATGAACACGGAAATGGAGTGCATTGTGAGGAAAAAGCTAATGGAGCACGATCTGCTTCAGTGAAAGGCAGGTGAGAAAACAACATTCTAACAGATCCTTGATGTCTCAGTAAGGAAAACCTGTCAAGCTGGCCTAAACCAAAAATTTTCTTTACTAAGAAATGCGGCTGCTGTCAGTGCTGAATAAACTTGTATGTAGCATCAGACTTCATGTCTCCTGAAACAAAATCATGTCCATTCACAGTAAGTCTTGTATCTTTATGAATGAATACAAGCAACAAGTTGGGGAAAAAAAAAAAAAACACAACAAAAAGCACCAAAAAAACACATCAGAAACGCAGAAAAACGCAAAAAAAGCACTGCAAAATGGTTATAAAGATGGAAAAGATAAAAAGGTGTCCAAAGCCTTGAATATGCCAACCAGTACTGTTAAATCACCTATTAAGAAGTGGAAAGCCCGGACCACGTCTAACGAGTGCAGTGCAAACTCCTTAGGATGAGACGTCCGCGAACAAAAGGAAGGGAGTACAATGTCCTCATTTAGGTGAAAGGCAGACATCACCTTCCGAAGAAAAGAGGGAGGCAGACGAAGAACCACCTTAACCGTATGGAGAACCAGATAGGAAGACTTAAGGCTGCCAGCTCAGACACCCGCCTGTGGAGCGGAGGTGATAGTGACCAGAAAAGCAACCTTCTGAGAGAGCGCGAGCAAGGGGAGATCCCTAATGTTCTCAAATGGTGGTTTCTGAAGGACTGAGAGAGAACCAGGTTCGGGTCCCATGGTGCCAACATGCCGAACCCTCTGAATAAAAAGGTATGAACTAAAAGAGTGCATAGCCAAGTGGGATAAAAGATCACCAGAGCAGCAGACGCTTGGCCCTTAACAGCTCCCCATCCACCCTATAGCAGAAGTACTGCTACAGGGCGGCACAGGTGTGCAAAATTTTATATAGCATATATAGCTAAATATAATATATATATACACACACACACACACATGATTTTGTATTTCTGGGTAGGGGGCGTGCTCCCTACCCTCGGCACTTCGCAGCTTGACTGTCAGTCACCGGGTCACAGCTTAGCACAGCCATGCAAAGCAGTGTGCTTACAGTGAAGCACAAACGCAGCCCAGTATGCAAAACAGCACATACTTAACCCTTTGATCGCCCCACATGTTAACCCCTTCCTGCCCAGTGCCATTAGTACAGTGTCAGTGCTTATTAGCACTGATTACTGTATTGGTGTCACTGGGGATGTCATTAACACCAAGTCAGTTCACTCCAGTGTCAGAATGCCTGCCGCAGTCCTGCTATAAGTCGCTGATTGCCGCCATTACAAGTAAAAATTAAATTTTTTTTTTTAAAAAAATCACAGTATATGTACTGCCATTTGTAGACACTATACATTTCATGTAAACCAATTAATTTACACGTATTTCTTTTTAAATTCTGGCTTTTCTACAATTTGGGTGTTGAAAAGCTAGACTCAAGCACTATTCACCATTTTTTTTTGTTGCGACGCTGCGTTACTTTAACTGACAATTGCGTGGTCATGCAACGCTGCACCCAAATGAAATTTATGTCCTTGTTTCCCGACAAATAGAGCTTTCTTTCAGTGGTATTTGATCGCCTGTGCATTTTTTTATTTTCTGCGCTATGAAAAAAAGACTGACAATTTTGAGAAAAAAAAAAAACTATTTTCGACTTTTTGCTATTAAACATGTCCAGTAAACAAATGTTAAAAATCAAATTTCATCATAAATTTAGGCCAAAATGTATTCTGCTACATGTCTTTGCTTAAAAAAAAAAAAAAAGAAAATCACAATACGTGTAAATTAATTGGTTTACGTGAAATTTATAGCGTCTACAAATGGCGGTACATATACTGGGATTTTTAAATTTTTTTTTAAAATTTTTACTTGTAATGGTGGCAATCAGCGACTTATAGCAGGACTGCGGCGGGCATTCTGACACTGGGGGGAACTGACTTGGTGTTACTGACATCCCCAGTGACACCAAGACAGTAATCGGTGCTAATAAAAAGCACTGACACTCTACTAATGGCACTGGGCAGGAAGGGGTTAACATGTGGGGCGATCAAAGGGTTAACTGTGTCTCTGCTTCACTGCAAGCACACTGCTTTGCATGGCTGTGCTAAGCTGTGCCCAGCATTCACCGGGCGTCGGCAGGTAATCACCGGCTGTGACCCGGTGATTGACAGCTGAGGCTGCGAACAGTGCTAAAGGTAGGGCGCACGCCCCCTACCCATAAATACAAAATCGTGTGTGTGTGTATGTGTGTGTATGTGTGTATATATGTGTGTGCGTGTGTGTTATTTTACACACCTGTGCCGCCCTGTAGCAGTACTTCTGCTATAAGGTGGATGGGGAGCTGTTAAGGGCCAAGCGTCTGCTCTGGTGATCTTTTATCCCACTTGGCTATGCACTCTTTAGTTCATACCTTTTTTATTCAGAGGGTTCGGCATGTTGGCACCATGGGACCCGAACCTGGTTCTCTCTCGGTCCTTCAGAAACCACCATTTGAGAACATTGGGGATCTCCCCTTTGCTCACGCTCTCTCAGAAGGTTGCTTTTCCGGTCACAATCACCTCCGCTCGGCGGGTGTCTGAGCTGGTAGCCTTAAGTCTTCCTATCTGGTTCTCCATACGGTTAAGGTGGTTCTTCATCTGCCTCCCTCTTTTCTTCGGAAGGTGATGTCTGCCTTTCACCTAAATGAGGACATTGTCCTCCCTTCCTTATGTTCGCGGGCATCTCATCCTAAGGAGTTTGCACTGCACTCGTTAGATGTGGTCCGGGCTTTCCACTTCTTAATAGGTGATTTAACAGTACTGATTGGCATATTCAAGGCTTTGGACATCTTTTTATGTCAATTTCCATCTTTATAAAGTTCCATTGCCTTGTTATGCAGGACTTTTGACAGTTCTTTTCTGATCCTCATGGCTCAGTATCTAGCCTAGTCAGTGCTTCCATGTAAGAGCTAACAAACTCATTGACTATTTATACACTGACACGAATTGCAATTTAAAAAGCCACAAATGTGGGACATTAACCTCTAATTGGCATTTTAACCCGTGTGTGTCACCTTGTGTGTCTGTACCAAGGCCAAACATTCCAGAGTATGTAAACTTTTGATCAGGGCCATTTGGGTAATTTCTGTTATCATTATGATTTAAAAAGGAGCCAAACAACTATTTGATAATAAATGGCTTCATATTATCATCATCTTCAATAAAAGAGCATTTTTTGGCATGATCAGTCATATTTTCAATATCAATGCCAAAATGCCACAATTTCTGCCAGGGTATGCAAACTTTTGAGCACAACTGTATAAGAATACTGGGGAAAAAAGGAAAAAAAAAAAAAAAACGGGATTTCTTTTGTCACTCACCGTAAATTCCTTTTCTCTGAGTTCATTGAGGGAAACAGCCTTCATAATTTGACCATAGGGTTATATCCCACCTTCAGGAGTAGGTCTAAGCAGAAAAAAGAACAAGCACAGCACTGCCTATGGGCTGTCCTAACTGGTAGTAAACCCCCACTCTGAGATAGGCAGCTCAGTTTGTTACAAAGCCAAAATTTCACAATTTCTGCCAGGATGCAAATGAGCACAACTGTATACATGCACACCTGTCTCACCCCTATGGCTGATGATGCTAATAAATCCTCTGTCATTCCGTTTTCTTCTCACCTCTGTGACCAAGCCCCCAATGGGTGTGGCAAAACAGAGGGCGTGGCTAGAGCGATAGCTGAGGCCATCCCTGCATACTCCACATGCCTGACTCTAAGGGGTCCGTCCTCTCATTCTATTCACATAACTGACAGGTTTGTTTTAATACAGCTCTTGCTGATTTAAAAAAAAAAAAAAACTTAAGAAAACGCATTCTGCAAAAGAGGTGGTTTATACTTGTCGCACCTTGCTTCCTCAAATCAGTGCTCTCCATACACAGCAATGCTGCTGTCAGAATCTTCACATTTGGACACACTTTTGGGTGTGACAGATCCTTGCTTTGTACTATAGTTCCATCCCCTGACCTGTTCTGTCACTACTGTGCCCTGTATAGATGCATGCCACTGTACTCATGTTAAAACTATGCATTAGAGTTTGCATGTCTTTACAACACTTGTTTTTTTTTTTTTTTTACATCCTGTAGGCTGCAGGACTGCATCCTACTGCTGAGCAAATAGAGATGTTTGCATATCACCTTCCTGATGCCACTCTGTCCAATCTCATAGTAAGTATTTCTGGGATTGGCATTTTTGAATAGTGTAGGTAATCTGAGAAGCATGGGCCTTACATGGGAAGTAACCATCATAAAATGCTTGTTTGTAACATTCTAACTGTATATGAGATTACAATACAATTCCTTGCAGTGGGAGACTGGCATATGTATCATGCTTAGCCATCTTTTGTGTGAAGAATAGCATTTACAACCCCTTTACTTTACTTTTCCTTTTCTTATAGGACATCTTTGTAAGTCTGTGTCAGGTTGACGGACTTTATTTTGTGTGCAATATTGAGGATTTCAAATTTGTAGCGGACATGATCCAGCACATACCATTAAACTTAAAGGCACGATATGTGTTTTGCACTGCTCCAATAAATCGCAATCTGCCCTTTGTGTGCACTTCGCTGCTAAAGGTGAGTAGCCTACATCTAGAATCGCACATGTTCCTCACTGTTTAAATCTTAGTTACCTTTATCATGATTTCACTTACCGTATTTTTCGCTCCATAAGACACACCTAGGTTTTAGAGGAGAAAAACAAGAAAAAAATATTCTGAACCAATGGACTGCAGATATATTACAGGAAATGACCAGAGACTGCGGATGTAGTACAGGAGATGACCAGAGACTGCAATGTAGTACAGGAGTACAGAGACTGCGGATGTAGTACAGGAGATGACGGAGACTGCAAACGCAGTACAGGGGATGACCAGAGACTGCGGGCGCAGTACAGGGGATGACCAGAGACTGCGGGCGCAGTACAGGGGATGACCAGAGACTGCAGACAGTACAGGGGATGACCAGAGACTGCGGACGCAGTACAGGGGATGACCAGAGACTGCGGACGCAGTACAGGGGATGACCAGAGACTGCGGACGCAGTACAGGGGATGACCAGAGACTGCGGACGCAGTACAGGGGATGACCAGAGACTGCGGACGCAGTACAGGGGATGACCAGAGACTGCGGACGCAGTACAGGGGATGACCAGAGACTGCGGACGCAGTACAGGGGATGACCAGAGACTGCGGACGCAGTACAGGGGATGACCAGAGACTGCGGACGCAGTACAGGGGATGACCAAGAGCCTGCGGACGCAGTACAGGGGATGACCAAGAGACTGCGGACCTTTAAGGAGGGAGGAGAAGCAAGTACCAGAATTTGACAGGTACCCCGCTCCCACTTCCGCGGAGTTGTCCTCCCTTTACTGTGGGCACCCATCTATGACAGCCGGGTGCCCACTGCGCATGTGCGAGAAGCGCTGCGCTTTGTGAATGGCCCGGCGTCTTCTGGGACCTCTCGTGTTCCAGAAGACACCAGACCATTCACAAAGCGCAGCGCTTCTCGTGCATGTGCAGTGGGCACCCGGCTGTCACAGATGCCGGCGCGGGAAGACTGCACAGCGCTGGACCGAGGAACAGGTAAGGTCCTGCTGCAGAGAACGGCTGAGTGGCCGGCCCGGTATTCTGACATGGTGGCGGTGGAAATATTGGACCGGATGCTTTATGTTCGCTCCATAAGACACACTGACATTTTTTCCCCCCTTTTTTGGGGGGAAAAAGTACGTCTTATGGAGCGAAAAATACGGTACTTATAAAGTTAGAGCATGATTTTGGTAATCTGCTGGAATTGAGGTTTCTGAGTTGCGTTTAACAAACAGATGTTCATTTATAATTTGGGCTAGTACAAAATTAATGTTGCTACAGATGATAGAAATGCCTTTCTTCAGATTTTATTTTCCCATCTTGCATGAGTTGTATAGGCCACTCCACTGAAACCGCTGCATGCTTCTCAAAGTGTAAATTAGGAGCTGCAGCAAGTAAGGCAGTTGGTCTCCCTTTCAGACTGACACCCACTCATCAAGGCATTTTGGTATTCGCATAACTCCTCCCAAGAGCCAGCTAACTGTTTTATATCAGATTTCAGGAAATTATATGAAACACCCTGCCAGCCCCTCCCACTAGCTGCAATCTGCCTGCATTGTATAGAGAAGCACAGATGGTGATGCCATTGGGTCTAAAAATAAAGAACTCCTCCTTTAGTTAACGTAGTGGTAAAAGGCTTTATTTTATAATTTCTTTAGCATTTTAATTAGGTGGATGTGGGGTTAATCAATGAACCAAAATGTAATTTAATGTAAGCTTTATTTACTTTTCTAACCCCTATTTGCAATCCGTTTATGTCAATAAGGACTACAGTTAAAAAATGACTGGGTTATACAGAAATGTTCCTTCAGGTTGCCTCTGGAGGCAACAATTTAGAACACGTGGACATTGGCCTCCAACAATAACATGGATGTGTTGAGCTTGGCTTAGGTTGACCACATGCAGGCAGATCTCTAAGAAGGAACAGTGGCCTGTAAGACATCTGTCCTTCATGACACGACCATTGCCTATAATTCACATGATTGTCCTTCCATAACTTGACCCTCAGGTGAAAAAGGTGCTGCATAGAGAAGGGGTGTGCTTATGGAGAACTACCAATTGGAAGCACATAGTTACATAGTTAGTCTGGCTGTAAAAATTACAATAGTCCATCCAGTTCAACCATTAAAAAAAAAAAAAAAAAAAAAGTAAGTTAAAAACCTACACCCACAGTTGATCCAGAGGAAGGCAGAAAAACCCCCAGCAAAGCATGATCCAATTTGCTCCTGCAGGGGAAAAAATTCCTTCCTGAGTCCCCGAGAGGCAATCGGATATTCCCTGGATCAACTTTACCTATAAATGTTAGTAACCAGTTATATTCTGTGTATCCAAGAAAGGAATCCAGGCCTTTTTTAAAGCAATCCGCTGAGCTTGCCAGAACCAACTCTTGAGGGAGTCTATTCCACATTTTCACAGCTCTCACTGTGGAGAAACCTTTCTGTTATTACCCTACAGAAAACCCCTTTATGGCATGATCTTTTGAAACTATGCTGAAATTATTTTAATGGCTTTTAACAGTTGTGCTCTATAGGATCATCAGGACCATTTCAACAGCACAAAGGTACACTATCAGGCACAAGGCAATTGGGACTGGGGCAGACCAGTACACAGTGTGCTGGGCCATGATAGTTATTTAGGGTTCTCCTGCTACTTCTGCCTCAGACACCTTGGACCTCAGTCTCCATTCCTTTTGGGTAACTCCCCCTATCTCTCTGTTTTTTTTTTCCATCAAGAAAGAAGCTTTCTGCTCACACTGTTTAGCTGATGAGAAAAGTTTCTATGCTGGTGGAATCTGCTGGCAGCAAAGGGGCGTAAGCAACCCTCTATTGATTTACTTTCAGAATAACTTAACCACTTGCCTACCAGGCACTTATACCCCCTTCCTTACCAGGCCAATTTTCAGCTTTCAGCGCTGCCGCACTTTGATTGACAATTGCGCGGTCATGCAACATTGTACCCATATGAAATTTTGATCATTTTTTTCTCACAAATAGAGCTTTCTTTTGGTGGTATTTAATCGCCACTGGGCGCTTTACTTTTTTGCGCTATAAATAAAAAAAGTGCAAAAAATTTGAAAAAAAAAATGTATTTGTTTCTTTTATAAAATTTTTCAAACAGGTATTTTTTTTCTCCTTCACTGATGTGCGTTGATGAGGCAGCACTGATAGGCGGCACTGATAGGCAGCACTAAAGGGCACTGATAGGCAGTACTAATGAGGTGGCACGGATAGGCGGCACTGATAGACAGCACTAATTAGGGGTCACGGATAGGCGGCACTGATAGGTGACACTGATTATGGGTACTGATAGACGGCACTGACTGGCATCACTGCTGGGCACTGACTGGCGGCACTGACTGGCACAACCCCTGGGCACTGACTATTGGCACTGACTGGCAGCACTGCTGGGCTGCACTGGGTGGGTGGCACTGGTGGGCAGCACAGGTGGGTGGCACTGGTGGGCACAGGTGGGTGGCACTGCTGGGCACATGTAGGTGGCACTTCTGGGCACAGGTAGGTGGCACTGCAGAGTGGCACAGGTGGGTGCACTGCTGGGCACAGGTGGGTGCACTGCTGGGCACTGGGCATGGGTGGGCGGAGCTAGTGGGCACACTGCTGGGCGGAACTTGCGAGTGTCACTGCTGGGCACCGATCATCAGGGCACTGATCATCAGTGCCCTGATGATCGGTGCCGATCCCCGCTCTGACAACTGCCGGTTCTCGGCAGTACTTTCCTCACGATCTGACCGCGTGAGGAAAGTGCAGCCGAGAACCGGCACTTGCATTTCCCTGTGATCAGCGTGTCATTGGACACCGCTGATCACGTGGTAAAAGGCCGCTGTGATTGGCCTTTTACCACATCACGTGATCAGCTGTGTCCGTAGGACACAGCGATCACGGAGATCGCCGGGTGCGCGCCCCCTGGGGCGCGCAGGAGAGCACGTTCTGGAAGGACGTCATATGAAGTCCACCCAGAACTGGCCGGCCGCGGGTTGAAGCCGTCATTCGGCTATGCGAGGTCGCAAGAGGTTAAAGAAACCATTGTGATTTGGACTCTGTGTACACTTGTTAGAAGTTAGAACTGTCTCCGCCTTCTGGTCTTAAGGTCACCAGTAGGGATTCTTGCAACAATCCAAGAAGCCTACTAAGGTATTTCTGATCCACCTGCTAGTACAAGATAATCTGTATGAGGACTAGCTGTGGGCAGATTATGTGTATGTCCCTCCCTCTCAAACAGTTTGCTCAGATGTACACCACTTAGGAGGTTTACCACAAAAAGATGATGGTTCCAGTGGTGGATTTTGGCGGCTTCTTGATTAACCACTTGCCTACCAGGCACTTATACCCCCTTATTTACCAGGCCAATTTTCAGCTTTCAGCGCTGCGGCACTTTGATTGACAATTGCGCAGTCATGCAACATTGTACCCATATGAAATTTTGATCATTTTTTTCTCACAAATAGAGCTTTCTTTTGGTGGTATTTAATCGCCACTGGGCGCTTTACTTTTTGCGCTATAAATAAAAAAAGTGCAAAAAATTTGAAAAAAAAAAAAAAGTTCTTTGTTTCTATTATAAAATTTTTCAAACAGGTATTTTTTCTCCTTCACTGATGTGCGTTGATGAGGCAGCACTGATGGGCACTGATAGGCGGCACTGATGGGCACTGATAGGCAGCACTAAAGGGCACTGATGGGCAGTACTAATGAGGTGGCACAGATAGGCGGCACTAATATGCAGCACTGATAGGCGGCACTGATAGGTGACACTGATGATGGGTACTGATAGACGGCACTGACTGGCATCACTGCTGGGCACTGACTGGCGGCACTGACTGAAAGTGCAGCCGAGAACCGGCACTTGCATTTCCCTCTGATCAGCGTGTCATTGGACACCGCTGATCACGTGGTAAAAGGCCGCTGTGATTGGCCTTTTACCACATCACGTGATCAGCTGTGTCCGTAGGACACGGCGATCGCCCGGTGCGCGGCCCCTGGGGCGCGCAGGAGAGCGCGTTCTGGGAGGACGTCATATGACGTCCACTCAGAACTGGCCGGCCGCAGTGAAGCCGTCATTCGGCTATCTGCGGTCGGCAGGTAGTTAACAACCAAATCTCTAGTGGTTCTGGTGGAGGATGTCCTGGTCTTTTAGGACTCTGTGGACAAGAGGTTGGATGGTCTCTTTAGAGCCTCCATTGCTCTCTAGCTCGGCTATGCAGCCAATAGTGGTCTTTATGTCCGCTTGTCAGACCCTTTTGGTCTGGGTCAAGCATATGGGACGTGATCTGAATAAATGCTTTCATATCCGAGTCTTCCAAAAAATGGTGCTTTTTCCCAATGGCCTTCCAGTACCGTTGACAGCTTGGCTGATTCTCTGCATCAAGCTTCTCGTCTGGACCATATGTCAGTCCAAGAGCACAGATTGTTATGGCTACGGTGTTGGTCTGCAGAGACAGTCTTCAATAAGTGTCTGGGAAAGATTTCATTTAGCGGGGAACAACTCTTTTTAGGGAGTCATTGGACACCTTTTATTAAGGACGACACTAGAGTGAAGAGCAAGATAGCAGAAAGAAAGCAATGTCTCTGCTGCAAATTCTCCTTTTGTCGCTCCAAGTCTGCTAGGATTCAGTGCAAATTCTGGACATCCAGTCCTACTAAATATGCTTCCAAGTCTGTTCTTCTATAAGGGGGTGTCCCCACTTCAAGTAGCTGGGGATATCTGTAGGCCTTGTCAGCTTTTCAGACCTTTGGGTACAAGACGTGGTTTCTCTGGGGGTACAGGCTGGAATTTTGGTGCTTCATGCCCTCAAATCTTCCCTCTTCTCCAGAGTTTGAAGACTGTTCACATTGCCTTGTAGTAACCACTGTCTTCTGGAGTAATTATTCAAGTTCTCCAGAAGGAACGCTCTCAGTGGTTTTACTCCAGCCTGTTCACAGTTCCCAAAATCGGTGGGCAAGTTCACCCCATATTAGATTTGAAAGTGCTCAACACCTTCCTGTGAATTAGAAAAATTGCAAATTCAGTCAGTCCTCAGTTATGACTTTGATGCAACTAGGGGAATTTGGCATTGATAGACATCATTGTGTTGTTCAATGCCTCCATCTTTCCTCCGTATCAGTGGTTCCTGTGCTTTGCGGTGGGTGATAATTTCAGTTTGTGGCTCTTCCACTTTGGCCTGTTCAAAGTCCCTTGGGTCTTTACCAAGGTTCTCTTCCAAGTTCTTATGATGCTGTGCTCTCAGAGAATTCACATTGTGGAGTATTTGACAATCTCTCCTTTTGACGGTGCAGTCCTCCCAGGCCCTTCCTGCCAACATACAGCAGACAATGCAGAGACTTCAGAACTTTGGCTGAATTCCCAAACTCCTGAAGTCTGCTGTGGATTTTGACCCATCGCTTTAGTTGCTTATTCCTAGTCCTGGACACGGCCCAAGCCTGGGTATTTCTTCCCAGGGAACAGTATGGACTCTACAAAATGCTTTATCAGTTCAGTTTTGCATGATAGTTCTGGGCTTGATGGTAGCCTTTTTTGAGGCGGTGACGTTTACTAACTTTAACTCCAGGTCCCTGCAGCTCATTGTGCAATTAACAAAAAACATATGTGCTGAGAGCGCGCACCCTGCGTGCTCCCAGCACACATGTCCGCTACTCACGGAAAGGTCCCGGTCTGCTCTTTCGATCGGGACCTTTCCCGATCATGTGACCGTCGTGACGATGCGTCACGGCAGTCGCATGTTCCCTAAACCCCGCCTCGACCATCCTGGCTTCTGAAACTCTTAAAGGGTCGGGAGGCGCGGGCGGAAGAGGTTAATTGTGAATTTTTTTCTTGGAAGTGCATTAAAGGACATGGTTAACCTTCCCCTCTGCCTGACTCTTTCCTCTTAATGCTTGCTACAAAACTGGGGTTGCTGTGAGTGGGGGTGGTGGGGAGCTGTCCAAATTTCTGTTTGCCAGTCACCTGGACGTGACTGCATATTCCCCAGTGTCTATTGGATTGAATATTGGAGCCTGTATCCTGTACTATACTTAAAGAAAAATATTTTACAGGTAAGGCAGAAAATGTTTATTTTTTTTTCTTTTGCTTTTCTAGTATGCTCGACAGTTCAGCAGAAATGAGCCTCTCACTTTCCAATGGATCTGCAAACATGTACACTGGCCTGTTTCATCTCCAAAGAGCATAAAAGATTTAATGTATCTGGAAGCTGTTCATGATATCTTGGATCTCTATTTGTGGTTAAGGTGAGTGAAGTTACATTTACATCATCAGAGCAGGTACAGTATCCTCAAACCCCATTTAAAAAATGGTGGTGCCTTAAAAAAAAAAAAACTACAGTGGCAATATATCCATCTTGGCTCCTAGAGTTGACTGCTTCTGAATACTGCACGCTACTACAATTCTAGAGTGAGTTAGGTGTACCCATTTGCTTTTTTAAATTTGACATGCTTAACATTTTTAAACTCAGTCTTACTAGTGGACCTCTGTTTAAATGACTCCTCAAACCCCTCTGGGTTTAGTTGAACACATGGAAATTTAGCCCTGTAAACATAATCACATATAAAAACTGAAGGAAAGAGTGTCCATGCTTACAGAAAAAAAAAATGACTGCAAATGTTTGTGGACAGCAGATATTTAATTTGTTCTTCCATCTCTACAAATTGGACCCAGTCTGTCTTTAAAGAGTTACATATAGGTTAATTAAATATGACTGTTTTGTTGGATACTGTACATTATACATTTTTTATTATTACCTAATTTAGGCCACTGGTTAAATTAGAACTATAGGCAAAACTTTTTTTTTTCATTTTGGAAAGAAGTAACTTCTGCAAGATTTTTTTTTTTTTTTTGCCATGTTTGTCCCATTGCAGAGATTTCCATTCAATTCCTGTCCCATAGTCAAATTAGAAGTGAGCGGAAATCCCTGGAAATTAAAGGAATTCCTTGGGGACCCCTAGGTCACCAGAACTAGTGTCCTCATTGGAAGATTTCCCCCCTATTACTTTTCTGGTGGCAACCCAAAATTTGGAATTTTCTTTTACTTGCAGGTTTGATGATAATAGTAAACAGGATAAATAGAGAGGTTGAATCTCCCCAACAGGGGTACACACAACAAAACTGACAGGTTCTAATTCATCTCCACCCTATCCATAACTTTAAAAAAAAAAAGCCTTTAGTTATACTGTAAAATTTCAGGACACGTTTTAAAGAGATCTACTTGCTTTGTCATGCTAAAGCAGTAACCTTTCAGAGATTTTACAAAGTTTCCAAGACAATTTGATTAAAAAAAGTGACCTTTTTTGCTCCTGCAGGTTATAGGAAAGAGGTCACTGAACTTCCCTATCCACTGCATATACTTACCTTTCCTTTTCTCCCTCTGCCACCGCATTCAGCCGCCAAGACCAAAGTAACCCATCGCTTCTGGGTATGGGTGAGCATGTGACTCGCTTCTCTTTTCCATGTGAGAGCGACAAGTCAGTTTGTAGTTTCCACATGGCAATTCTTTTCCTGGTCCTGGAGGTTGAACAGAGATATACAGGAACAAGAAGAGGTGTGTAGATGCTGCTGGGTATATACTGTATGGGCAAGAAAATGGCAGTTTTAAAGATACTAAAACCTTGCCAATGCAGATCAGTATCTCTTAAAAAAGAAAAAACAATCTGACAAAGCTGGGAAAAAGTAGAAAAAAACAAAACTGGGTAATAAACATGAGCCACAGAAGAGTAAAAAGCGTCTATGGAATAAGAGGGGCTTAAGTCATGAAGGAGAAAATGGCCCTAATAGTGTCTGATCGACATTAAGTCCATTATCCTTTGTGTCAGGTAGAAGTATTATTTCTAGTATTCCTTTCCTGAATAGTATTGAAATTCATTTTAAAGGAAAACTATAATTGACAAGATACAGGACCTGCTGTGGCTGACGTCCCAGAATGTTTAGTTTCCTGACTTTCTCTACTTTAAAAAGGAATATGGCATATTGCATTGATACACTTGCCATTTTGTAATGTAATATTATGACCTTCCCACTTCAAACTGCAGCTGCTGTAATTTCTACAACTGTCAAATTCAGTGTAATACGGCAGTTTGATGGTTTAAAGAATATCCCTAAAGATGTAATTTCCTGCTTCTGAGATGTAATTTTCTCAGAAGTCTGCTATAAGATGCATGTAACATTTTAGGTACTCCCTGCAGTAGGAATTTAATTTTGGTCAAGCAAGGCTTTCCATTTGAAGGTATGCAGATTGCACCAGGAGTGCACCAGGTGATTATAATAAAGGCTGACCCTCCCATTCATGAATCAGTCTGTAAAGGACTTGGTGAAGCAAACAGTAATTTCTTCAGAACAGGAAAAAAAAGATATTACTTTGCATCCAAATTAAATCCTTCCTGTGTACATTGATCTCCCTGAGGGGGATTGGAGTTACGCTTTATTGCATGCTGATTCATTGACCTGGAAAAGTGTACAGATTAGATAGTCAACTGTGAACTTTGTACACTTGATCTGCATACTTGCATCGAAAGCTATGAAGCATGTGGCACCATGGTAGCCAGACAGCTACCAATGTTTTTAGAAGGACATGTCACTAGATTTAGCTTACATGGTTTGTCAGTACAGGTTTATCTATGTCATACAGAATGTGATTCAATTCTGAGAAATGATATCCTCTAAATGTGCAGTAGTTATCTGTGTATCTTGTAGAGTATAAAACTAAAACTACGGTATCAATAAAAAAATATACTATCAATAATACCCTCTAACATATAAGATCAAACGTTCACCCTTGAAAGTGCAAACCAACACAAAAACACCCAATATGTTATATAAATATATTTCCCTAAACACATATGCTAATATACATATAGTGAACCCAAACAATCATATAATAAATCCCAAAAATAACCAATATATAAATAAAATACAATTACAAATGCAAAAATAAAAATTCAAAAATTATAAGTCAATCGTGTCCAGAAAAATATAAATAAAGTCACTCCAAAAACCTTAATGTCCAAAAATATGCAACTTATCAGATCCTTTAGTGCCAAGCCCCTCCAATGGCTCCCAAAAGGAAAGCATGTACCTCAAAAGAAGGAAAACTCATATAGTGCATTAACTTTTAATTATTATCGTACCCATATACCATATGCACTTGTGCAACTTAAAAAAACTGAAAAATTATTAAAGTGAAAAAATATGAACACTGTGTAAAACGTGATAGTGCGTCACTCTGTGAATACAATAATCCAAGTGACCATACAGTGTACACTTCTATAGTGTAAGGCATATACACCCTTACCAAAAAAACAAACAAAAACCACCTTATCAATATTGCAGAGATCGGCAGCACGTTCCCACAATTTTCCTCCAAGCCAGAAAAGTACTGCTTAAGATGTCATCCACTGCATTCTTCTAGATGTCATCATAGCTTTTAGAAAGTGCTCCATAGTACTCCAAAGTACTCATGCACCATGCGAGTAATATATGAATAAAATATATAGTGTAATTCCGTTTCAAAATTAAACACACATACTTTAACTGCTTATATTTAAAATATTATTTAGAAAGCATATCCTTATTTTACTATCAACTTATTGAAAATATTAAATTTTTTTTAATTAATAAAAAAAGTTATATTTTATTTAATACCCCTTAATAATAAAATATTTAAAAATAAAATATACATAAAATATTAAAATCCTAACATCAGTAATTAGGAATAAAACAATTCAGCTCTAAATCAACATTTAATCCTTTTGGCCTTAACGTTTGTAGTTGAAAGATCCAAAGGGTTTCGTTTTTTGAGATGGCTTTAATTTTATCCCCACCTCTCCAATGGGCTTCTATTTTATCAATTCCACAAAATTTCAAAACCCCCGGATCACAGTTATGGAAGTCTCTGAAGTGCTGGTTGGTCCGACAAATACATCCCTTATGACTAAGTCCCAGATGTGACGTCGGACGCGAAGGAGAGGAACCGGAAGTGGCGTGTCGGCCATCTTTGATAGTGGAATTCACATGTCAAACAATTTGGAAGCTGCTCGGCGACCCTAGAGGTTTGACGAGCATGGGAATATGCTTCCTGAATAATATTTTAATGTAAGCAGTTAATAAAGTATGTATGTGTGTTTAATTTTGAAACAGAATAACACTATATTTTATTCATATATTACTTGCATGGAGCATGAGTACTATGGAGTACTTCCTAAAAGCTATGATGACATCTAGAAGAATGTGGTGGATGACATCTTAAGCAGTACTTTTCTGGCTTGGAGGAAAATTGTGGGAACGTGCTGCCGATCTCTGCAATATTGATAAGGCGTTTTTTGTTTGTTTTTTTGGTAAGGGTGTATATGCCTTACACTATAGAAGTGTACACTGTATGGTCACTTGGATTATTGTATTCACAGAGTGACGAACTATCACGTTTTACACAGTTCACATTTTTTCACTTTAATAATTTTTCACAGTTTTTTTTAAGTTGCACAAGTGCATATGGTATATGGGTATGATAATAAATTTATTAAAGTTAATGCACTATATGAGTTTTTTCTTTTGAGGTACATGCTTTCCTTTTGGGAGCCATTGGAGGGTCTCGGCACTAAAGGATCTGATAAGTTGCATATTTTTGGACATTAAGGTTTTTGGAGTGACTTTATTTATATTTTTCTGGACACGAGTGACTTATAATTTTTGAATTTTTATTTTTGCATTTATAATTGTATTTTATTTATATATTGGTTATTTTTGGGATTTATTATATGATTATTTGGGTTCACTATATATATATTAGAATATGTCTTTTAGGGATATATATTTATATAACGTATTGGATTTTTTGTGTTATCTTGAAGATTATGTAACATCCCTGGTTGTACTTGTTACAATATTATTAATAATACATCTGCAGGATCCTCTTGGAAGTTGTTGATCTTTAGATTGCACTCACACGAGAGTCTTTGGTCAATTTACAGGCTTTTCTTTTTCCCATTGAAATCTATCTTGAAGCTTGCAGCTTGAAAAAAGCTCCTATATTTTTCAGCTTCAAGTGACACTCTCAGGTTTTATCAGGCATAATTGAGAACCATGGGATTTTGGATGGTGAGCACTTTGTAGTTCAAAGTTTCAGAATGTTCAAGCGTGCATGGGCCTTAATGTTTGACATTATAATTTCACCATGTAACATTTTCCTTTTTTTTTTTTTACCCAGTTACCGGTTTATGGATATGTTTCCACATACTGTGCTTGTAAGGTCCATGCAAAAAGATCTAGATGCAATTATACAAAATGGTGTTTATAACATTACTAAACTCATCAGAGCATCAGAAGCTGCATCTAATGTTCACGTGATGGAGGGCGCTGTTCCATCTCATGAGACACGTAACGAGAACTCAAGAACTGGACTGAGGGGGGTCAGGGGAAGTAGGCGGACTTCATTAAATTCAGAAGCACAGAGTGGGTCCCTCACCTCCAAGTTAGTTAAGGACGGACTCCTTACACCAACCATGTTAAGGCAGCTTGAACAAGAATGGCTGAGGCGCCAGAATGACCATGGAAACCAAGATGGAAGGACATCCAATGATATGGACACTTTTAAAAAGACAAAAAAGACTAAATAGTTCCATTTAAACCAATTTTTATTTTTTATTTTTATTGAAAAAAAATAAAGAGACTGTATATCAAAGTTATTCAAGTTTCTATTATGACATGGTTTTCAAGTAACCTCATGTTTACCTATGGCTTAGTTCTTAATTCCACGTTGGTCTATAGAATTGTTTCTCAAAATCTTTGGTTCTCAATTATTAAATTATTGGTCTATGTGCATAATGGGGGGAGGACCAAAAATACACCCCATCCAAAACAGATGGATCACCAAACTGCTGTTTATTTTTATTTGTAGTAACTGCGACCAATTCTTTTTCTACAGTTCTGGAAGAAGTGCAGGATCATAACTGTAAAAAGGTATTCCCCCCCCCCCCCCCTTTTTTTCCCCTCTTGTCCATTGAGGGACACAACAGTAGTCAGGGTTATTGCTGGGGATTGCTGTTTACAGGAGGATTTAACCCTAGTGACTAGAAAAATGTTAGGTCTCCTCCAGTATCACCCCTTCTCTACCAAGAGTGCCTTAAGCTGGCCATAGATGGGTAGAATTTCAAATACAAATTCTTAGAAATAGAAGGTTCTAAGAGAGTTTGTTTTTCTAATAATTAGTGGATCAAATTGACGTTCTTTTTTGACCACAGTGCCTGGAAAAATTTGAAGGAGCAGGATGGAAAATCTTTCATGAACAAATTTTTAGCAGGCTCTGTGGTTTTCATTCTACAAAGTCCATTCATTCCAAAGTCAAATGTGAAAAGCAAACAAATCTTTCAAATGATAGACGAATGTTCTATGAATTTTTGTACAAATTTCCCTATGAATTTTTGTACAAATTTTCCTAAGAATATTTGTTTGAGATTCCTATCCATTTATTGCCATATTTAGTTTTCTGCTGGTGTGTTTTTTTTTTTTTTTTTTTTTTTTTGTTAAGGCTGTGCCAAGAAGTCAACTCCATTTATACCTTCAATTTTTTTCATTGCATTTTTCTATCACTTTTTTGCTTTATCTGGTCTATAAAAAGTAGCTATCCTGATGGGCCTTTCCTAAACCTGACTTTGGAGTGCTGTAAATGGGAAGCACTGGACAAGATACCCAAATTGAGCCTGGAATGTTACCTTTGTGTACTAGGTTTTGGTGCTTTCCAGACCTTCATGCACTAGAAAAATCTAGCTGTGGACCGCTTTCCAGGTCCAGAGCCATGGCAATGCCTCAGTGCTTGACCCAGTCTCTGTAGACTCACTTTGTGGATTAGGCAATTCAGGCTGAAGCATTGGGAGCTACCTCTCTATTACTCCACTGGGGTGCCTTTCACATTTTCTACTACTGCCTGCTTTATTCACAGAAAAGGCTAACTCTGAGAGACTGAGCGCTAATGTCATCTGCTGGGTGGAGTGTAATGCCATTCAGCATCAAGGAAGCTCCATCCCACTGCTCTTTCTGCTGCGCCACATAGAACTCTGGTCGCCAATCTACTGTTACCTTGTCACTTCTGTCCAACTTGCCGTGCACTTTGAGCCTAGTTACGGTGCCACTACTTGAACATGACATGTCTGCACACAGACAAAAAGGATACAGTTCTGCTGTTATGGGTGACTGCAGCACATACTCCCCTATGGGTTCTGGGGCTGTCTACTCAGTATCCACTGAAGGAACTGATGTCTGTAATCCAAAATTCATTGACCCTATACTTATAGGGTCTACGTTATGGGAGTCCCCTTCTGTGTCATCAGGGACCTCCACAGCAACTCAGGATTTTGTAGCCAGATTCACCAATTCCTTGTGAACTGACTGCAGAGACACTAAGCACACCCCAGTGCCATCCCTGTGTAGTGCCTATCTTTGACCACACTGAGGTCATAGAACAGGCTGGGCTACTGGTTGTTGTCCCCATCCCTGGCTCAGCTTCAGAGTCCCCTTAGTCTGTCTCTGAAGAGACTGTCCTTGGGGCAACATAGTTTCCTGCTGTCATTATTATTGATGCAATGTGTGCTACCCTATAATTAGAGGATCAACCTGCTTTTTGTAGAGCTTTTAGAGCTGCAAATATATTCATTACATTCATTATCTGAGGTATTTCTCTACGTAAATTGGAAGCACCCTGATGAGTTTTGGGCCCCACCTAAGAGTGAGTTGGAATTGTTCCCCCTAAAAAGGGAGGTGGTCTATTCCCACAGTGAACACACCATTGACGCACCATGACAGGAGACTACTAGACAGGTAGAAGGTGTGATTAGCTTTTAAGCATTCTAAGGACCGGTAACTAGAATCCCTTCTTAAGTTCCAGTTTGAACTTGCTGGTTCTGCTCTCTATCCTGTATTGACAGTCAGCTTAATGTCAAACTGTGGCAAATTGGGTCAGATCCCGCAAAATGGATCTCTAACGGCATGGTAGGCCCCTCATTATTTAAGCAATTGGAATAAATGCCTGGAGCCTTACACTCTTATTTGTGATGGCTTGCTACAAGTATCTAAACTTATGTCTGGCATGGATCCTATACAAATGTTCATACAGATGTGCACAACACTCTGGTTACACTAATGTTGCATCCAAAGACCATGTGGCATGGCTGTCATTTGAAGGATGTGGTCTCTTTTGCCCTACACTCCTGCTACAACATAGGAGGTTTAGGGGAGAGGTCAGCTGAGTCCAACCCTTCTCCTTCATCTACTTCTACAGTAGATGCTTTCATGAAGGTGCACCTCCACTTCTACACGATGGGAACTGATTGTGCATCCTAGCTGATCTTTGGATAGTTTGCCTCTCCAGCATCTAGGTGCAAACCCTGTTTTTGCCACAGGCTAATCCCTTGCCTCTCTTCCCTCTTCAGTTGCTCTTTATCTCCCTTGTGCTACTGCACAGAACAATGCACCTTCTCCAGTCTCTGGGCCCCTCTCACCCGTGAACTGCTTGCTTCAGTGCAAGTGTTAAAGAACAAGTTCAGCTTTGGGAACATGTTACATGTTCCACCCGATTTTATGGTAGAACATGTAACATGTTCCCATTATTGCGACTGCAGCCTGATTTTCCTCTCCTCCCCTGCCAGTGACAACAGTACGTGGAGAAGTTCCCCATACTAGCTGTCAGCAGCCACGTCATTCGTTCACAGAGTTCTGTAAATTAATGAACTAAAAGTACAGACATTCTTTGCATATGTTGACTTGTAGTTCTCAGTGAACTACTACGACGCTGTATAGTGTTGTGGTAGTTCATTCAGTCTTCCTGTCAGTGTTAATGCGGAACTACACTGCATCTGAGCACCAAAAACAGTTTAATTCATTTTTAATATTCAAAGCAAACTCCCCCCATCCAGTTATGTCTCCATGCTTTATTTTGCTGAGAAATTTTGAAAAACACTCCCTGGCATTTCTGGCCATGGCCATTTCGAGTAAGGGCAGATGATTCATGTAGAATTTACTTCCTGGAATCCATCTGTCCTTAGCTCACCCATAGGTTGAGCTGAGAACCCTCCCTCTCCTCCTGATGACTGCTGAGATGTATGACATCATTTGCCTAGGCATTGAAATCAGGAAGTAACTAAAGAAATGTAAAAAAAAAAAAAAAAGTTTAAAACAAGTAAATATGATATACTTTACTATCTAGCAGCATAACGATTAAAAATAGTCCATGATTGAGAGAGGTAAGTTCTGCTTTAAACTGTCTGCTCGTACGAGGAGACTGTAACGGAACCGACCCAGTCTGCGCTTGGGTACTTCTGTTAGAATACCGCTTCGTGCGAACACCGACAACAGACACCACAGCCGACCATACAAGACTAGACAACACCAATCTTGAAGTAATCCAGGAGGTAGACTAATTTATTTGAACACAGATACAAGATATATACACTCAGGGGCAATCCCCCCCCTTCTTGCATAATGACACAGGGCGGGGCAATCTACATTTAGTAACAAGAGACACAAGTATACAAATTTCACACCAGCAGACAGTCTCATCAGGAGGGAGGGCTGCTGGAGACCCCCCCCCCCCCTACTAAGCTAGTACACATAAACACATACATCCCATAATAGTTTGCTCCCAAGCAAGACACACAATAGAACAATGAGTGGAACCACATGACATTCAACAATCAACAACCAACCTCACCCCAATATTAGGACAGATCACCCTGTACCCCTAACAGGCACAGGGTGACTTACACATAATAGGGATATGGGGAGCTGAGACGGGTCTCCCCACCTCTCCAAAGTGAGCTTGGTTCCATGGGCCCCCCACCCAAAGTGACTCCTGTCACAGAGACTATCGGTGGTACCATCGATCTATTGATTGCTGGTGCAATGCTTTACAGGGTCCAAAAAGAAAAAAAAAAATAATAAATGCACATTTCTTTACCTACAAGAAAGTGCATTTATTTATTTTTCTTTTTTAAAGTGCACTTATCTTTTAATTTGTTTTAGGAGCTGTGCCCGTCCAGGTCTCTATACTTCTTCAAGAGAACTCCCTGTTTTTGGGCCAAACCCCCACATGGTGCACAATACCTTTTCAGGTGCTCTTTCTCTCTGTCCTACAAGGTTGACCAGTACCAGCTCTTAACTGTCCCTTATCTAAATAAGGACCTGGATCCTCAGTGTTGCCTTCTCAGAGCATTAGCCCCTGTGTTCAGCCTAGTGTCCTCTCCTAGCATCCCTGCTGTAGGATGCTCAGATAACACCCTGTGAATAGCCAGCTTTTTGGATCTTTGTAGTCAGCACCATTTCAAAGAGCCGAACACTTGCAAAATCCATCTGGATCAGGTTTCGCTGTATTTCATTGATTGTAGCTGTTTGTCGCTAATGGGCTGTTCGTCTTTAAGCCTTCACCAAAAGTGTGTACCCTTAGGTCCCTTTCACATGGGCGTTCCGTATGTCTGTTTTTCATCTGTCCATTTACGGATGAAAAAAGAACAAACACGTATTCCTATAGAATCGTGGATGTAAACGGATGATCATCATCTGTTGTTAACTGATCTGTTATTTCTTGGAAAAAATGTGACTGAGCTGATGACAGAAATAGAACGCACGT